ACACGTTTACTGTGATTACAGTGATCTTGTGTGTTGCTGAAATTTTTGAGATCTTATGTAGAAGGCTAGGTTTCTTAAAACCTCAGTGATGTCAACTCGCACTTGTTTACTGCTCTGTCCACCTGCAGCTTTGTCATAATGGTTTCAAACCACAGCAGAGAAACATCTCCTGTCCTCCATGCAGTGCTGCAGAAAAGAACAACACTCATGGTTACTGAGGCAGAATAGTCACTTGACATAAAGTCCTCATCTAAAAACTTGCACACTATGAGAATAATCTTTGTTTCCATGTCAAGGTCAAAGGCACTAAGATCTCTAAGAGCAGTATATTTTCATGACCTGCCACCTATGATAGTTCTGCCTCCAGAGGAGTGTCTATGTGTGAGGAGGCAGTTATTTATAAACACACTTCTATTCACAGCTTTTCTGAACACGTGCCATCTGAGCTAATAAGGCCATTGCCCTTCTAGGAAAAATTATTGCAAATGTTTTACATGTTCTTAAGGCTTGAGAACTGAACAATAATAGTGGATACTCTCTGGGTACCAGAAAGCATTCAAGCATCTTCCCAAGAAGTGCCACTGAGATGCAACCTGCAACTCAGCCCTGGTTAGGCTGTGGTGACAACATATCCATGGATACCAGCTTAGCTTGCAGAGGCTCAGCTATTGTCCCTGCTGGGTCAGAATCTTCTTTTAAAAGTGAAAGAGTAGCATGGTATTCTTTGTGCTGACTGCCATGCCTCATTATGTTTTGGCTTACCATGTAGAAGATTTTTACCAATTTAGTATGATCACATTTTGAAGGAGGAAAAGGGCTTTTTAACAATTTTGCATAAGCGGCTTCAAAGTGTCAAAATAAAATCTTGGAGAAAAGCCTTTCCTAGGCCCAATCATGATTTGATTTCAATGTGTTTTGCTTGTGTGTGACTGCAGAATTGGGCCCACAGAATTTTCTGCTGTGCGTGTCACATCTAGCTTTTTCTTGCTCTGACTGAAGCTGTTAGAATACACTGAAAAAAGAACTCTGCATATTAAAATTATTCTATGCAGTAAGCATATTGGGTTAGGTTAGGTCTTAAACCTTTTATAGGCATCAGATGTTTTTGTGTGTAACAGCTTCTTCTTAAGGTCTAATAAACATACTAAATATAGAAGAGATTTCCTTGTGCTGAAGTGAGATAAAGGAAAGAAAACAGATTTCAGAATCAGAAAGAAAAGAGGAGGTAGTTTCCTGTATAAAATATCTACAAATAGCTATAATAACAATCAACCATTTTCTGTCTGTTTTTCAAACATAAAAAGCTGAGATCCTGATAACAGAATCTGGGTAATTTCAGAAATATTTAGAAAATTCTGGAAAAATTCTTACCAACTGTTTTACCACCAAGTGTTAGTCAATTAGCCCAAAACACAGTTGAATTATCGTAGCCTTGTAATTCTCACCCACAAAAGTAAACCTACCAAATAAATGGAATAGCAAGTTTTAGGTGTCTTGGATTTGATTGAATCTGTGTCATTTAACACAAAGTGGGCTACAACTAGATGTGTGTTTTTTTTAATATGCTGATCAAGAACAAAACTATATATTTCAATACATTTGCTATATTAAAACATTAATATTATTTTTTCCCTATGGAAATAAGTTATATGTTGTCTTAAATGTCCAGTGAAAGGTATCAGATTTATGCAATATTAAACTAGTTATTTGATATTTGCAGGCATTGCAAGTGAAATAAAAATCACTGTGCTAACTTCTTGTTTGCATAATATGCCATGTTCTTTAGTTGATACATGTCTAATTTTTCACTGTATATGTCAATGTCCATCTGGAATTATTCTTTCCAATTGAAACTTGTAATCTCAGGTAAAAAAAAATATTTAGAAAAACATACAGTATATAGAACTACTAAGAAAAAGAAGTTACTTTCATGTGCTAGGTACAGTTGTTACCAATGGTACACTTGGAATCCCACTTCATCAGTTATTTGTATAATAATAAAATAATTTAATCACAAATTTGTCAGTATATTCTCTGGCACTCAATATGTCATTGCTTGTCGTTCTTCTGTAAATTTCCAAACACTTCAGAAGGGTGCCAAAACCCCCAAGCCCTCGGGAGTTCTTTAAGTTCTTGTTACCATCAAGAGCCTTGAAGAACAAGTACTGGCATGGGACTGTCTGAGGATCCCTGGAGTGCTTTAGGAGATGGGTTACTCACCACCATGGCCCTTCTCTTTGTGGTCACATTTTTGGAACATATTAAAAATTTCCCTTCTTCCAAATCAGATACACAGATTTATTTTTGTGTGTGTGTGCATTTCTTTTCTGTGGAATTAAAATTGTCAAATTCCTCAGTTTTTCATTAAAAAAAAAAAAAGTGTATTATTGCCTTTTAGTGCAAATGTTTTTCTGTGCCTCATTCTGCCATTAGTTTCTGGAACACGTTGATGGAGATATTATGTCTATGTAAAGAAATCATTTCCCCATGGATGTCAACACTTCTCTTTCCTATATTTGCCATTTGTTTTCCTGGCACTCATTGTATTCTCAAGTGTCTATAAACTTTTCTTTTGCTTAGTCTTCCAAACTCCCACCACTTTCATCCTCATTTACATTGTTTTCTGTCAGCTTCCTTCCACCCTTACTCCCTCTAAGATTGATATGCCTTCATGCATTTCTCAGTGTTGAGCTGATTTTTGCTCAAAGGCTTAGCAAGTATTTGAGACGCTCATGAAGGCTTTTTTGTTGTTGTGTTTTTTGCCATTAAGAAAGGAATTTACAATACAGTTGGGGATTCTTTGATTCAATTCTATTTCTTTACACAGTGAACATGAAGTCCTGTCTCCCAGAACACTGAGGAAGCATTTTTGTTGCTCACATCAGGTTCACACTGTAAGTGCTTCTTTGACTTTGTCATTGTTTTCCACCATACTCTAGCCACCTAATTTTCACAGATAGCACTCAAAGCAATCCCCAGCTCATGTGTTTGCAGTCAGTTTTGTCTCTAGTCAGACATCATGACCATTTCAGTTCTCACTTAACAAAGAGCCATAATTGTGACGTGATTGCATTTACATCAAAGGTATAGCTGCTCTGGGCCAGCCAGCTTCTAGTGTAGCACCACAGCATCCCAGTCCTATAACCACTCCTTGTTCTCTTCCTGTCATGGATTCCTCTCTTCTGTTCAGACATCATTTCCCTCTGTTCCCTTTCTGCCACACTCCCATGCCAGGAACGAGACAACGCAACCTCTCCTACCCTGTGCCTCCCTCCAGCATGCACCCTTCTTTATGCCCTGGAGCACTGACATTCTCTTCCATTGCAAACAGATACTTTGAGCTCAGGAAGAGGTTTGGCAAAAGGGCTACCTAAAATAAATGTAAAAATAGTTTTAACTATGCCATCAGAATGAGGTAGTAGAAACTAAATTTATATTGCAATAACTTGTGAGATTCATTTGAAACCATTTTGCTTCAACAGTTCGCTTTTCTTGTGCTGTTCTTATCCCCTCTTCACAAACCCAGAAATCCCTGGAGGTTCCTCTGAGAAAAAGTTATCTGGGAAGGGGTGATCCTAGGAGATGCATGTTCCAGGGCTGACAGACTTTCTCATAGCCACCAGGAAGCAGCCCAGTCCTATTAGCCAGGCATTGGTAATATTACAAAATGTGGAGTATGTTAAATTTTCTTAAGAAAGGAATTTTTTTTTGATGTTTAATCTTCAAATACTTTCAAACTTAATAAACAACAAGGGAGATTTAATCTGTGAAAACAGAGAGCAGCTAACAAGCAAGCTCTAACTGTTGTCCAAGTGTTAGAAAAACAAATCACTTGGTAGTGGAATTGCCTTGTTTACCAGGTTTACATTGTTTGCCAGGTTTAGAGCTTGACATTTTTCATCCATCTCAGACTCAGGGGGAGGTTAACAAAGCTTGGGAAGAAGGATGCCCAGTTGTAGTTGACACAAGGAATGCACAAGTTACAGGCCACAGGGCCATTTGGCAGAACTCACAAAATAATGAAGAAACGAATACATTTCTTATAATAAGGCACTTAGCTACTGTGCTGCAATCAGCTCCAACTGGGTGAAAGGCCGGTCTGGCAGGGGGAAATCCTGACCATCAGTCAGGATTTCCAGCTCACGGACCAGTGACCCAAGAAACCCAGTGACTCAAATGAGAAAGACTAAATATGCTCACTAATTAGCAGAAGAAGCAAGAGAATCAACTAACAGAATACAAAAAACTAACTAATAAGAGAACTACTATTCTCTTATTAAAAAACAAAGCAGCCTTTGTTTGCTAAAATGTATAAATAGTAAAGTGCTGATAGCTGGGGTGCTTGATTTATGGAATACCCCCAAACACCCAGGCTTGCACAACTCTGAAATGAATAATCAATATCTCTCTCGAATGTGTATTTATTGGCTGGTTGCATACCAAGTAACTAATCCGATTTTTGCAGACAACAGCTTTTGGGGATAAAACGCAGAGGCCCAGAAGGGAAGGCACCCAAGGGCCTCACGGACCTTGGCAAGCCTCGGCACAGCCCAAGGAGAAGTTTCAGTCTGAGAAGGGATTTTACTTGCAGGTGTACCTGCATAGGCCAGGTCTGCACAGCTCTCTGGGCTGTCCTGCCAAAGGAAGGGAGGCAGAAGGGACGGGGAGGGCGTCACTGCCCAGCCCTGGGCTGCCGGGGCCAGGCTGCCGCTCCGCCGCTGCACCAGGAGCAGCCCCGACCGCCCCGAAGTCTCCAGCCCTTCCTCGCGGCTGCTGTGGGACGCCTTTCAAGCACTAAAGAGCCATGCAGGTTTGAGGCTGTAGGAACCCGTAGGCAGACACACGGACGGACGGACGGACGGACGGATGGATAGATAGATGGATGGATAGACGGACGGACAGCCCCGCCTGCCCCCTCCCGGCCAGCAGAGGGCGCTCCCCGCGCCCCGCCGCCCGCCCGCCCGCCCACGGCGCCCGAGCCGGAAGCGGAAGCGGCGGGCACCAGCCCCGGGATCGAGACCCGCGCGCCGCCGCCTCCGCCGCCGCCCGCGCCATGGCGGCCCCGGCGCTGCCCCCGCTGCCGCCGCAGCTCAAGAGCATCCAGCACCATCTGCGGACTGCGCAGGAGCTGGACAAGCGCGAGCCCGTGGTGGCGTACTACTGTGAGTGAGGAGGCGCCGCGGCGCCGTCCCGCCGGGCCCGGCCCGGCGGCCGCTGCAGCGGGCGGAGCGCTCCTCCCCTGCCCGCCCGGGCGGCCCGTGGGATGCGCGGGGGCGGGGGGAAGCCCCACCTCTGGGCGGTGCGGGGTGGTCGCGGCAGCCCCACCCGCCGTTCCTGCGCTCCGTGCTTGCGGAGGTGCAGCCTCTGGGCGGGCGGAGTGCCCGGCCGGCTGCTGGTACGGCACCGTGTGAAGCGGTGCTGATGGGGCAGTCCTGATCGGAACGGCAAAAAATAGCATTCGAGAAGTTTTTCAGAGTTTTTGTTCTCCTGAAAAGACTTCCCTTCGGCCCTGTGTAACCCTGAATAAGTATTTTGAGTTTGAGAATCCTTAGTGCTGATAGAAGCTTTCATTTTCTCCTCTGTGAGGCTTTGCCACTTTCTCGGAGTTCTCAAAGGGAGTGGTTTTCTCTTTTTCTGCTTCTTTGGCTGAAATGAGCGCAGCAAAACCTTACTGTAAAACTTGCAAATTAATATGTAAAATTTTCAAGCTGATGTGGCTTCTAAGCTAATGGTTCTCAGCGTGGACTGTGAGCCTTTTTGAAAGACTTTGCATAGTGAATTAAGAAATACAAACTTGCTGTTAGTCTTAAATTCCTGTTACAGTTAAGCCACACTGGTAAAGGGCCTAAGACTAGCAGATTGCGAGAAATGTGTGTTTATGTTGTTGACAAACCACCCATAAAGGGAAGGAAGATGGGTCATCACAGCATTGGTATTTTTATTGAGATTTGAAGTCATTTGAGGGGTTTACTTGGTTTGTCTTCAAAAAGAATGAAATAAAAAATAGATGTAGAACTAACTGGCTGTTTTTTTCATTAGGTGATCTTAATTTAGAAGGATGAATTTGTGAAATTCACATTTCAGATAGCTCTGAAAAAACTGTCATCTGAGTGACAGAAGATTAATTTTACCTTTTCTGTGTTACACAGCAATAGTGTGCTAATGTGGAAAAGTGCAACCAGGAAGGTGAGATAGCCACATAATAGAGCACTGGATGTTCTCAGTAGCACTAGCTCTTTATTTACTGGAAAAACACAGGACAAGTGACACTGTGTGGCAGGAAGCACCAGCTAGGTCAAGTTGCACTGAGGGTTTTTTTTTTTTTTTCATTTGTTCTGCTTTATTTCTTTGGATTTTTCTGTCAGATGTAGCACACTGTCTGGCTATACAAGAAAAAGACATGCATTGGTGTAGGTGAAAAAATACAAGTCTGTTTCAAACCAGAAATGTTTTTAGTGTATGATCTCTACTTTTCTTTGTCTTTTGCAAACTTATGTCTTCATGTAGAGGAAACAACCTATGTTGGATAATTACCATTTTCTGTAAAGTCGTTTGCCTTGTCTGTCCTAAGTAGTCTGAAAAGTTTATTTTTTCATCTGACTACTTCAACAAATCTGGTTCATTACTGAATATAGCAAAGACTGTATTCTAGAGGTATCTGTTTCATTACAGTAATATATAAAGTAAAAAGCACTGACACCTCTTTTTCAAGTTAGGTCTTGCTCAGATCCTTTCTTTTTTAAGTGCACAAAGGAGAAGAATGTGTTTTTACCAGTGTTCCACTGATGACACACACTTCATCCCATGGTGGATGCATTTGGATTGAATAAAATGTACTCATGCCCCATAGTTGTTTGTTTTTTCTTCATTTAGTTCTGGCTTTGAAGCAAAAGTAAGGTTTATGAAACATAAATTTTTAACATCATGGGTTTAGCATAATTACATGGAATCCCAAAGTATTAATTGTTAATATTGCTACTGTCAAAAAAAATATACTGTGTATTTACTCCTAGCATGCTATGAATAGTAAAAGCCTTACTAAAAAGATAGATTTTCAGAAGTGTAGAACAGAGGTTACAAAAAGATTTCAGGATTCCTTTCAGATAATGTTTTGAAAGCAATGTGGATTTATGTAGGGTTCAAGCACTGCATCTCATTAGATGCTTCATTGGAAAAAGTGAGCATATCTTTGTGGTGCTACATTGTGTGTGGCTCTCTGTGCTGGCACTTCCCCATCAGCCTCATCTGCAGGCACATGTCTGGCACCCTGCATGTCCCAGCACCAGGAGCTGCTGTGGCCTGTGTCTGGCACCCTGCATGTCCCAGGAGCAGTGGGCTGGTGAAGCACAGTAGTGTGCACCCTGTGTTGTTGAAAGGCCGTGTTCCATCCCAAAGCTGCTTACGCAGCCACTCTGTGAGGGGGATCACTGGTTAGCTGGTGGGTGGAACTATCAGTCTGAACAGTGATGTGTTTATAGCTTTGGAATGTTGCCATAAGTGGGTCATACCCAGAAAAAAGCTTCAGTCACAATATAATTAATGTTGCCATGGCACAGTAGTTTGCAGTATGGGCATATGTATGCTAGCTTTTGATTTATATTAATTTTAGTTAAATTGGACTTTTATATGTCTAATAATAAGAGCTGTGACACAAATTAATTTGAGGATTGGTAGCAAGTGAACTCTGGCAAGATGTTTTTGCAACATAAAATACTGCTTTCTATAGCTTAGCAATAAATTTTTCAGAGAACTACTTACTACTCTTGTTAATGTTTTTGTGTCTCATCATAGGTTCTGTAGGTGCACTCTTAAAGCTGGAAATTTGTGTGACAATTACATAATTTATTTGCCTTTTTTTTTTTCTCTTGTGTTGCAGTGCATTTTGAGCATTAAGCTAGCATAAATCAGTAATGCCACCTAAAGAAAATGAAGTATTCCTCCTATGGCTTCTCATTCCCAGCCCTGGACTGCTTTAGAAGCAAATGTTGATGTAACTGTATGATGAAAGACAATAATAAGCTATTTTTCAGCCAGGCCAATTCACTGCTGCTTAAACAGCTGTGTTCCCACACAGACAAAGAAAAGGAACAAGACACAGTGGCTGGGGGCAAAGGCAGGACTCCTGCTTTTTTGGTATTGCTGGCATATGTTGATTTACAGAAACTGTAATTAACATTAATCTGTTTTGCACAATATAAATAGCTACAGCGGGGATTATTTGTCTTTTTCAACTGCCACATAATTTTCCATATGAAAGGTAAAATGTTGAATATTGATGTTCTTGTACATTCTTGTATAATCTAACACAACACTTCTTTGGTTGTAGTACTTCCACATTGCAAAAATTTAAAAACTGGTTTGTTGCTGGTAATCCTGTGTAATCCTCACAAAACCTTCGTTCTTAACCTCTTTATTAGGTATTCAGAATCAAAGCAGAATACGATCAGTAGCTTTATATGTTGTGTGTATACTGTAACCTTTTTAGCCCTATTTATTGTTAGTATATGAATGTAATTGATTGAAGTAATTAAAATATTTTTTTCCTGACAGTGTGCATCATAAATTCACATGGTTGTAACATTTCTTCTACCCAGAACACAGGCTGTAGAGAAATAAACCAGGTTTAATTTTTGTAAAATTTTTAGTAGGACATGATCTCACAAAATAATTCTCCTTTTTAAGAGATTAGACACATAATGGTTAACGTAAGTGTCCATTTACATTAATGTTAATGTAAACATTTTGCTAATCTACCACCTTATTTTAAAATTGTTTCCTCCCCATGTGATACTTTTTTCATTTTTGTATTATTTGTTAATCATTGTCATTAAGTATGTAGCTATTTCAGGTTCAGTAAAGGTTAGTTTATTCAGCAGGTATTATGGAATGCCTGAAAAAGTACGTTTCATTGGTTGCCTGGCAAAGGGCAAATATGTAATTGATAGTCAATAAAATAACTTTTTATGTTAAAAACTTACTTGAGTCAAACTACTTTGAGATGTTATTTTGCAGACACAAGGAGGCAGGCTCTGATAAAAAAAGTCTCTGGCCTGTAATAACTGAAGAAATCATGTCTCCAACTGTGGCATAAGCAGTTGGACTGATGAGTTAGTTTTATTTTTTTTTTAAATTGCAAGGTTTGAGAGGTAACTGTATCTTCCAAAACCTTTAAGTTTAGATTTAAATGCAGATTTTCATTAATGACTGTTGTTTCAGCCTTCCGGTTGCATTGTTAATGTCTTTGCAAAAATATGTGGTAGTCTGTACTTACTGAACATTGATGTTCTATTTCAAACGTCTTGTGAGAATGCCAGTGAGTTGCCAGAAAAGGACTGATGTTTCATGAACAGTGTTTGGATAGTCAGTGAATTCATGTGAGAAATTATGTTTCTAGTAAATTTCAAAAAACAAAGTGTGGTGACTTTTGCTTTACAGTCTACTAAACATAGGAAACAATAATGTAAGATCAGTAGATATGATCTGTATAAAAGAGGCATGAAAAAATCTTCAATTTTTAATTTTTGAGATTGAAAAGCATCAGAGAAATGCTTCCATACTCTTGTATTAACATTTGTGGTTTCGTGAGGTCGAGCGAGAGAGAAAAGCAAGAGACAACTTTTATTCCACAACTAGTTGACAACCTCTTGAACCAAAAGTCATTCAGCTTTTAAGAGAAATATCCATCTCTTAAATGTGACTGGCTTGTCACTTTCAAGTGTAGTCAGACACCTGTGAAACAAGCTTCTCTGCATACAAATTAGAAGAGTTTTTTAGTATTATTATTACAAAAAAAGGACTGTGAAGTTCATGGCCAGATTAACAATTCGGGAAATATAGTTACTGTGCAACTTTACAACTGAAATACCACTATTTTTTACCAGTTCTTACCCTTTATCAATCCAATTAGTCCTTCTTAAAAGGAATGACTAATAATGGTCAAATATTTTAATTGAACTTTTAAATTACTCAATTTTTATTGTGTCTTGGTGCATTCTGAATGATTAATTTAGAATATGCATGTAATTAAGAAGCATTAATAAAACTGGTATTTGCTGTATTTGCAGAGATTCAACACGTACTTATTGACCTCATTTATACTGGGACATTGTGAAATTGAAATGCCTAAAAAATTTGCTTGTAGAATTCCATATCTAATATGATC